GAACGCGTGTCGTCGGGGGGAGATGGGTCCAAGGGAGGGGGTACGGGGCCTGCGGGATGGCGGCGCGCCGCCGGCCGGCTGCCAGTCCGCCGGCACGCCGCCGGTGCCTGCGCTGCTGCTGGCCAGACTCCACAGCAGGCAGAGGGCGGCGGCGGCAGGCAGCTCTTCCGCGTCTCGTTCGGTCCTCAGCAGCTGCGGCAGCTGCCCCAGCCCGAGCGCAGGCAGCGGCCTGCCTGCCGCCAGGGCCGCGTGGGGGCCTGCCCACTTTCAGCAGCAGCAGCAGCAGCAGCAGCAGCAGCAGCAGCAGCAGCAGCAGCAGCAGCAGCAGCAGCAGCAGCAGCAGCAGCAGCAGCACCGCGTGGGCCCGATGGCAGGGCAAGGGGCCCCCTTGCTCCGGGAGTTGCAACCGCCGCCCGCGGGGTTGTTGCCCGAGGACGGGTCGACCTCAGGTGGCAGCTGGCACAGCGCTGCAACGGAGGCCAGCGGCGACGCCGGCGACAGCGTGGCCGGCCCAGGCGGCTGGGCGTCAAGCGGGGCCACGCCACGCAGCCCCCTGCATTCACCCGTGGCAGCAAGCAGCAGCGGGAGCGGCAGCGCTTGGGGTCGGGCCTCCGTCGCCCCCGCCCCAGCTGCTTCTGTTTGCAGCGTTGCAAGCCCAGCCAATATCGGTGCCAGCAGCGCCGCAGCGGCGCCGCCGCCCACCACACTGCTGGTCCACCATCCGGGGGCCGCCACAACCACCCTGCCAGCCACCCGGCCTTCAGCCGCTGCGCCGCCCCCAGAGCCCCCAGCTGCGCCGCCGCCGCCCTCGCATTCTTACCCGTCGCCCGAAACGCCGCTGCCGCTCCCCGCGCGACCGCCGGCCGCCCATGCGCCGCTCCTTGCCAGCCGCGGCCCCTCGCCGGCCGCCGCCCCGCCGCCGCCGCCGCTGGTACCCGTGGGCGAGGGCAGCTGCAAGAGCACGCTGATAGAACTCTGCCGAAGGCGCAGCTGGGAAGAGCCGGTTTTCGAGGTCAGCAGCGTGGGCGGCCCGCCGCACGCGCCGGGCTATCGGGCTCGCGTCCGTGTGTTTCTCCCGCTCTCCCCCAACGGCGGCGGCAGGGACACTGGCGGCGCTGCGGCGCGGGAAGAGGTGAAGCGGGAGGCGGAGGGCCCCAGCAAGAAGGCGGCCGCGCAGGCCGCGGCGAGACAGGTGCTAGCGGCGCTGGCGGCGGGGCAGCGGCCGGGGGCGGCGGCCCCCGACGCGGCGCCGGGCGCGGCCGGGCCCGGGCCCACGGCAGGGGCCGGGAGCCCCTCAGACGCAGGCAGCGCCGTCCCTGACGGCGCAGCGGCAGCGGCGGCGCACGCGGCGGCGGCAGCGGCGTCGGCGGCCCTCTCCGAACTCGATGCTGCAGGGTCTGGGGCGGCGCTGTCAAACCCCAAGGGGCGCCTGCAGGAGCTCGTGTTCCGCGGCCTGCTGGAGTGCATCTGCATCCCCAGGAGCCAGGCGCCGCTGTATGACGGCCGCGGCTTCGAGGGGCCGCCGCACAGGCCGGTGTTCCGGGAGCGCGTGCGGCTGATGCAGCTGCAGGCGGCGGGGGCGGCGCGAGCAGGCGGCGGCGGCGGCGAGCGCGCCGCTGCGGCGGCGGGCGGCGAGGGCGGGTGCCAGGGTTGGGTTGAGGCCGAGGGGATGGGCGAGAGCCGCAAGGCCGCGCAGGCGGCGGCGGCGGCGGCGCTGCTGCAGGTGCTCAGGTGCAGGCTCGCCAGCGCGGCCGGCGGGGCGGCGTGACGGTCTGCGCCCCCGCGGGGCCGCTGCACAGCCAGTGCGCGGTTTGGCGGGCCTGGCCTGCTCAGCTTCTGCTCGCGGGCGACAGCCTGCGGCCCATTTCCTGTTGGTTCCGTTGGTTGCCACCAACCTTTGCGCCTGCCAGGCGCAGCGCTGCGGTGCGCGCGGCACGCGCTCGCACCAAACGCACCTCCGGCTGCCCAGCAATTGTGGGTCTCCTTGTTACCGCATATGATGCATATGGCACTGAGGCCGGGCCCAGGCAGGGGGCTGGTTTGGGCGGTGATGGTGGTGTGTGGTGGGGATCAGCCGCGATGCGGCGTGCCACCAGAAAAAAAAACAGCAACGCGGTGCATCAATCAGAGGCAAAAGACGCGCGCGCGCCTGCAACCGCTGCGAGCAAAAGTCGGGTCGCGGCCGCAGCAGGCGCCGGAAAGAGAGGTGCGGCCGACGGCTGTTTGCGAGCCGCGCGGCGCTGCGGCAGCGAGGCTGCCGGCACGGGCCCGGGGAGGGAGGATCCCCACGCGGCGCGGGCAGGGAAGCCTGGCCGTTGCCGCTGGGAGTGCCTGCCGGGCACGCGTGGGTGTGCGTTGCACGTGTTTTTTGCACGCGTGTGTCTGTGTGTGTGCGTGCGTGTGTGTGATGCACGCAGTGTTGTACGATACATACATGTGGGTGAGGTACACCAGCACTGCGGCACCAGGCAACCCTCGCGCCGCTTCCTGGAACGGCGCGGTTGTCAAGAGGGGCCCCGCAGCGGCGCGCGGCGCTGAAGCGGGAGAGAGAAAGAGAGACAGAGAGAGCGTGCGCTTGCCGTGGGTCAAGGGGAAACCGTTCCAAAGTGAGCGACGGGAAGCAACTGAGGGAGCCTTCGAGTAACCCGCGTGCTGGGGCGAGCGCGCGACGGCCCAACGTTATGAGCTGATCATTGCTTGTCTGGTGCGCAGCAGGGTGCCAACCAGCTCTACAATTGGTTATCACCACCAACCGGAGCGGCGCGCGGTTTGGCATGGGTGCAAGAAAGCCACATCATTGCCGCGCATCCTGCCCGCAAGGACAGAATTTGGCGGGCAACTAAACAAAAGGAAGGAGAGCAGACCTCATGCACGATTGATCAACGGCCCCCCATTAAATGCATGCTTAACGCAAAGTCCAAGCGCGACCAGAAAGCCAGAAGAGCCCGGCGCCTGCAGCTGGCCAGGCGCGGCGCGGCGCGGCGGGGCATGGCGCGGCGGGCGCCGCGGGCAGCACGGAGGAGCGTCCTGTGGGCGGCGCCGCGCATATGACCGCGTGCGCAACCACGTGGGCCGCGGGCGTCACAGCTCCAGCGGCCAGTCGAGGTAGCCGTACCCCTCAAGCGGGGCGCGGCAGAAGGGGCAGGTGGCGGTGCCGGCCGACAGCTCCCACACACGGCGATAGCAGGAGACGCAGAGCCGATGGCCGCTGGGGGGGACGAGTAGGGCCGGGGGG